TTTTTTTTTTCTGCTGAGTAGTACTCCATTAAAAAGTGGGGTACAGAACTAAATAGACAATTCTCAATAAAGGTATCTAAAGTGTCTGAAAGACACATAAGAAAGTGTTCAATATCCTTAGCCATCAGGGAAATGCAAATCAAAACAACTCTGAGACACCATCTTACCCCTGTCAGAATGGCTAAAAATCAAAAACACTAATGAAAGTTTATGCTGGAGAGGATGTGGAGAAAGTGGAACCCTTCTCCACTGCTGGTGGGAGTGCCAACTTGTACAGCCACTTGGGAAATCAGTATGGCAACTCCTCAAGAAAATGGGAATGAGTCTACCACAAGATCCAGCAATTCCACTCCTAGGCATATATCCAAAAGAAGCACATTCATACAACAAAGACATCTGTTCAACGATGTTCATAGCAGCACTATCTGTAATAGCCCGAAACTGGAAGCAGCCTAGATGCCCCTCAACTGAAGAATGGATAAAGAAATTGTGGTACATTTGCACAATGGAGAACTACTCAGCAGAAATAAAACTTTAAAATTGAAAAGCTTTCAAAAAGATAAATAATAAATTTCACTTTCAAAGACTCTTTCTTTGGATAAGTCAAGTTTCTTCAGCAGAAAAACAAAATCCAGTCATTTGATGTGAGGATAAAAAGAAAACCCTAATGGATGTAGACTTATGTGTTTGTTTCCCACAGATAAAACAAAGCCTTTTGTTTCTCTCTCCAGCACGGTGTGAATTCTGCTTCCAGGCACTCTGGGGCCTCAGTCCACTAGTACCTCCACTGGGTGATGGATGGAGTACATGGGTGTTTTGTTGTACAATGTCTGTGTAGTGGGCTTCCCCTCTCTGTCACTGGGGATGCAGGCCAGGGCACACATCAGGCAAACACTAAGCTGAACCCTGGCCCTTGGGTTTTTTGAGGCAGGGCCTCATTATGTAGCTCTGTTGGCCTTGAACTCAAGGTCCTCCTATCTCAGTCCCCTAGGCCCCTCAATCATACAGGCTTTGCACTACGCCCAGCTCCAACCTGACATTTTGAAGACCTATACATGTACATGCAAACTAGGTTTTACCAAAAAGAGGGCAGGGCTATTACTATGGATACTGCTTTGGAATCGTTAAGGAAATAAGTATATTATGGAATTCTTCCCAGGAGTGTTTATGTAAATGTAAACTTTTTAAAAAGATTTTATTTATTTATTATGTATACAACATTCTGCTTCCATGTATATCTGCACATCAGAAGAGGGCACCAGATCTTATAACCGATGGTTGTGAGCCACCATGTGGTTGCTGGGAATTGAACTCAGGACCTCTGGAAGAACAGTCGGTGCTCTTAACTGCTGAGCCATCTCACCAACCCGTAAACGTAAACTTTAATATTTTAATAAACACTTAGCTCTCCTTGAGTCTGATCAGGACAGCTGTTTGTGATGTGTCGGGTCCCACATACTTGCTGTTGACTCCACTGAATGACTCCAAGTGTCACCTTTGCTTTCCTCAGGTTGGCTCTGAGACATTTTATTCCTTCAAATATCAAATCAAGGAGGGCAATTGTTCTGTCCAAAGTGGCCTCACCTGGCAGGACTGCGACTTCAGGGATGCCGAGGAAGCGGTGAGTGTGCTCTTTATACAAAAGCCCCCAGCCCTCTCCATGTAACCATCTGGGTTCTATAAATTTAAATGAAAGTGTTAAACTGACAGATCAAACATAAAACTTATACATGTGGTGGGTATGCCTGACAATTTGATCCAGTGCACTTGCTTAAACCTGGGGCACCTGTCTCCTTGGGCAGTCATCAGTCCTTTAAGGTGACAACATTCAAAATCCTTCCAGCCATTCTGCAATGAAAACATGAAATTCTTATCTGTATTCACTTGGTTCCAATCAAACTGTCACTCAGTGATCCTTTCGGCCTTTTCCTGTCCCCAGCCTTCAGCGGCTGGTGACTAGTATTCTGCTCCCAGCTTCTGTGACATCACCCTTTGTTGACCTTTGATGTCCTGTGCCTACATGCTTTCACTAACCTGCTGTTTTCCAGTCCCTTCCATGTTGCAAGTGACGAGTTTTAATTCTTTACAGTTCTTTCCACTATGTATATACACCAACTTCCTTGCCCACTCGTCAGTTGCAGACTTTTTTAATTACAAGGAGATGATTTACATTATTGAGCTTTTTATGAAGGATGCACATAAACATCTTAGTACATAGAACATTTAGCCACATTATCTCTAAATTCTTGAGATGACAGAAAAACCAGGAGTATGCCAATCATTAACCAGGTTTGTTGTCCACTCACAAGGAGGTCGTCGTAGTAACCAACGAAGACTGTGTGTCAGACCCCAGACATTTGGGCTGAGTTCAAGGTCTAGTGAAGGAAGAATATGGGAGTACCAGCTATACCAGGCCTAGGTACAAATCTTGACTTTGCCTCTAAGTGGCAGGAAGTCCTTGGCCACCCTCAGTAGGTGCTTTACCCTATTAAAATGAGACAACATTGATCTCACTGGCTGCAGGAGTCTGAAACAATATAAATTATACAAAGGATCTTGTTGACAATTTAGGTGTCTTAAAGAAACACTGGATCTAGCCCCTGGCAGTTGCCTTGCACTGGTGAGAAGGGATGGCTGGCGATTATCTGCCTCAGAAACACGTCTCTCTTCTCACAGGCTTGGATTCCCCTCTTAGATCGGATGTCAGCATCCTCCTGAGTGCTTGTTTACACACTGTGGCCATCCAAATTTGGAGACCAGGATTGCCGTGCTGGCTCCACTCCTCAGTGAGCTTGTCTGGCAGTTGCTATACCCTGCACAGCCAATCTCTCAGAGATACCCGCAGGCATCGGGGTGAGCTCTAGCCTCACACAAATGCTCCTGATGCTCGGTACAGTGGGTAAGACTGAAGAATAAGACAAAAACCAGTATTCACCACTAACAGTGGACAGCCACCGTGTAAACACCAACTGTGTGCTGCTTCGTTAGGCATTTCCTGTGTGTTAGCACATTTACACCTCACAGAAACCTGTTAAGTACATGTGGTCTATCTCTAAAAGGAGGTAAACTGAGGCACGGAGAAGCATCAAGGCAGAGGGAGCAGCTAGCAGGCAGCAGAACTGAATCGAGTATTGTTAAGATAAATCTTTCTGCCAAAAGTCGCCTGAGCCCCATCGCCACGTGTGAGCTTTATGCCAGCCACCCGCCTGAGTTAGGGCCCAAATGAATACACAGAAACTTGTATTAGGTACAATGCTGCTTGGCCAATGACTAGGATTTTCATCTGTTAGCTCAGTCTTAATTATCTTAAATCTATATAAGACTTATAAGACTTATCTTATCAGATGCCTTATTGGCGTCCCTCCTTGCTGGTGGATCACATTGTGCCACTGGAGCAGGAATGGAGGGGAAAAGAGGGCCCTTCCTGTTTCTCCTTCGCTTAAATATGAGTCTCCTTGCTATGTCACTTCCTGCCTGGATCAGCACTTCTTTACTATATTTCCCAGAATCCTCTTTGACTCCTCGTCCTGCCTAACTTGCTGTTTCATTGGCCAAACAGTATTTTATTGAACAATCAATAAGATAAACATACACAGAAGTACTTCCCCCATCAGGGTATTCTAAGAGGTTAAACTGAAGTTTATATAAAGAGTGTGAACCCACTGACACTGAAAGGGATATCAGGGAGGAAGCTTAGACTGTTGGTCCCGAGGCACAGTGGCTGTCTTGGTGACAGAGCAGTCTCTCTAGGACTCCACATCAAGGCTCAAGTTTAGAAGTCTTACTCTTCCTCTTCCCAACCCGTGAAGATCAGTGACCTGTGAAAGCAATCACTAGTCACATAAATATTCATTCTCATGCTCAAAACTTAGAAGGCTGGAGAGATGGCTCAGTGGGTAAGAGCACTTGCTGCTCTTGTAGAGGACATGGATTGGGTTCCTAGAACCCAGATGGAGCCCATAACTGTGTTGATAAATTGCTTGTGATCTAATAACGCCACTGAAGATCAGAATTCAAAGCCAGCCATAGAAGCTGGGCACACACCTTTAATCCCAGAACTCAGGAGACAGGCAGATGGATCTCTGTGAGTTCAAGGCCATCCAGGGCTACATGAGAGTGAATTAGTCTAAAAGAGAAACAGAGCTCAGGCCTTTAATCCCAGCACTAGAGATGCAGATAGGAGCAGGGTCTCGGATTTAGCAAGTAGTCTCCAGCCACAATGAGGACAGGATCTCACCAGCCCTGGTAAAGGTAAGAACTCTCTGGTGGCTTGGATGCTTTGCTTCTCTGGTCTTCAGTGGCTTTATTAAATCATAAACAATATACAGGTAACCACCTGTAACTCTAATTCCATGAAATCTGATGCTGCCTTCTGGACTCCATGGGTACCAGATGCATGCACACATACATATATAATGCATACAAAACACTCATGTACATAAAAACAAATAAATCTTTAGAAAAAAATCTTTAAGTCACATTTAACAGCAATGCTAGCTAGATGTCTCTGTTAGAAAGAAAGATCAGGGCAAATAGTCTCTCTTTTTTTTCTTTTAGGCCACTGGAGAATGCACAGCAACTGTAAGGAAGAGAGGAACTAAGAAATTCTCCTTAGCTACCCAGACATGCAAGATTACTCCAGGTGGGTGATACATCTGGGGGACCTGCCCTGGTGGTGGCAGTGGGTAGGATCCTGGGGAGGGGGTAGGTATGTTGGTGCTGATTATTCCTATGTACCAGACCACTTCACCCTCCCAGAAGGTGACAAAGGCAATGTCATTTGCATGTTGGGACTGTGGTAGATATGTGGGCAGAGCAGCACTGAACTAGGTTCTTGGATTGGTTCAGGCTTGTGTCAATCATCCCCTCAGACCTATCCTAATCCTCCTGTGTTGTGTCCCCAGGGACAGGTAGGGGTGGGACTGGCTGACAAAGGATAAGGGGACAGACCTGCCTCCAGTCCTACACAGCACCCTACAGGGAGGAGATTGTGAACTTTGAGGTCTGCCCTGGCGGGCCTGAAATCATTCCAGGTTTTTATCATCTTCACTTTCCTTTTTCCTTGCCTCAGAAGGGAGATAATAGAACTGTATACTTCACGTGATTGGTGCGCTAGAAAATGAGACGAGAAAAGATGCAATGCCTGGGCATCATAAGACTGTAGACACCAGATGACAACGACAGCTAACACTCACCAAGCACGTTTGTGCTGCCCTGGATCTAGGGACTTTACATGTATTAACTCATCTGACCATTACAGCTCCACCAGGGTAGTATTATATCCTGATTCTTCAAATGAGGTAACTGGGGCAGGAGCAGTTAGGTAGTTTACCTATGGCTATACAGTCAGCGGTAGAGTTGGTAGAGTAGGTCCTGTGTAAATTAAACCCTTAAGAATAACAGTAAAGAGCAACCTATGAACAGATACAGCCATTCCCATCACTTCTGATAATGTTGTAAAGGTACCAAGGCCTTATAGAGGGATGGGTGTGTATGGATAAAGCCAGTTATGAAAGTCTCCCTGGAGCTGGCCTCTTGTGAGGTGGAGAGAGAGAGAAAGGGAAAGGGAGAGGGAGATCCAATGACAGAACACACCCAGGAAGTGTGTTCCCAAGTGGTAAGGAAGCCTTCCATCCTGATGTGGTGTCTCTGCCACACATACTACCCACTCTGCAGCTGTCCACAGTCGTGTATTCTTTGCTTATGTCAGAGGGTCTATGAGAACCCTAAAATCATACGTCAATGTTGTGATTATTTGCATTTTCCTGGGGAGGGACTACGGCTCTCATGAGCTTTGGGACTAGACAGTGACTAAATGTGCTGTTAGTAGCTCCTGCCTGGAACACAGCTGCTCTCCGACCGTCCATAACTCCAACTGGCCCTCTCTGTGTCACGTTGGATGCTCTGGTTAAACGAATAGATGCTACCTCAACTAACTCTGATTTCTCAGTGCCGTCTGTCCCTTCTCTCCCTGCCCCCACACCTCTTGCCACCTTCTTCCTTACAGTTCAGGCATCTTCATCATTTTCTTAGACCTCTTCCCTGATCTCATTTTAGCTTCCTGTCTCTCCTACCTCTTGCCCACCCCCATGAAATGATCTGTCTACACTCTTTCTTTTCTACCTGACTGCCACCGTTCCTTCATGGAAGGGACACTTAACATCTCCCTATACCCTAGCTCAGCACCTGGCTATCGAAAGCAGAGGCAGACGGACTTCAAGGAAAGGCTCCTCTTGGGCTAACTAATAAGAATGCCTCTTGCCTTCTATGCTAGTTGTCTTAGTTAGGGTTTCTATTGCTGTGAAGAGACACCATGACCACGGCAACTCTTATAAAGGAAACTATTTAATTCAAGGTGGTTTACAGTTCAGAGGTTCTGTCCATTATCATCACGGTAGAGAGCACGGCAGTGTGCTGGCAGACATGGTGCTGGCTACATCTTGATCAGAAGGCAACAGAAAATGGACTGTGACACTGGACGGTGTCTTGAGCTTAGAAAAATCTCAAAGCCCATCCCCACAGTGACACACTTCCTCCAACAAGTCCACACCTACTCCAAGAAAGCCACACCTCCTAACAGTGCCACTCCCTATGAGATTATGGAGGCCAATTACATTCATGCAAGCATTAACCATTTGCTAACAGAGGAATGTCTTCCTACCAGCATAGAGTCATAAATTTACTACCTGCCAATGACTTGTTTTAGATGATGAAACGCGAATGTAAAGATGAACAAAGTATAATAATATTGTGTGACATAAAAAATGGAAATTCAACCTATTTGGGAGAGTTCTTCTCCATGAGCCAAAGCCTCAGATTGAATTTGTCAGGACCAATGACAGGAAATAAATGGAGTTAGGCATCAAGGAGCTTTAATAACACGGAAAATAACAATGTGTCTGTAATGTTCTCCCTCTTACAGGCTGGTGAGTTAATGTATTACTGTGCCCATTGAAAATTCATTAAAATAAGGGTCTAATGATGTAGCTCTGCTAGTGTCACTGTTCTGGAGGTGGTAGGACCTGGAAGAATAGAGCTGGCAAATGAGGTAGACCAAGACTTATGCAATAACCAACTTTATCCAGAGCCTCAGACAACTTATACTGTGAGGGTTAAGAAAGGTCATATGAGGGGCTGGAGAGATGGCTCAGAAGTTAAGAGCACTGGCTGCTCTTCCAGAAGTCCCAGGGTCAATTCCCAGTAACCACATGGTGGCTCACAACCATCTGGTGCCCTCTTCTGGTCCGCAGGCATATATGCAGGTAAACACCATACATAATAAATAAATAAATAAATAAATAAATAAATAAATCTTTAAAAAAAATCTCAAAGATCACATGAGCAAAGTTCTCATGAGTTCAAGCTGCATACGATTATAAGGACAAGCCACACTGTGACAAAAAACAACAACAACAACATGATTTTCTAAAGATTCATATAAAGGATAGTTTAAACATTTAATTGAATAACAGCAGCAAGGCACAATGAGTAATCTGAAGTAAACTCACTCCTATCCTCTACACCTCGAAGGGGCCCAAAAACACATCCCAAGAACAATTCTGTGTTTTGAAGCAACTGAGGTCACAAGACTCTTGTCTTGTTTTCTTGGAGTGTTCTCACAGGCACTCCGAATTCTCATATGATTCCATTCCTGGACCATGTTCCAACAAGCTAGTATGCCTGAAGGCCTGGGTTCAATCCACATCAGCTCATAAAGCAGGCACAGAAGCCTGGAAAGAAAAGTAGAGGAAGGAAGATCTGATGTTCATGGCCATCCTTAGCTACTCACATAGTTCCAGACCAGCCTTGGGGAATATGAGACCCCTGTCTAAAAAAAAGTGAAATAAACAATATAATATAAAAAAGTATTCTTTATACTCTCCATTTTTTACCTCTGACTACAGAGGAGTCCTAGACTCTTAGTATCTTTAACTCATACAGGAATTACTGGGAAGTCATCTTATCAGGACCTTCTAAATGGTTTGGGTTTAGGACTGTATTATGAGAGGTGTTTTCAGTTGTTAACGCTGCCTCTTTGTCTGCTCTTTGTCAAGGTAATGGCCCCATAGTGACAGCCGAGTACACCTGCTTGGGTTGTGTGCACCCCATATCGACTGATAACCCTGAACTGCAGCCTGTTCTAAAGCACGCCATTGAACATTTCAACAACAACACCGAACATTCTCACTTCTTTGCTCTTGAAGAAGTAAAAGCAGCCCAGAGACAGGTTTGTTTTTCAGTTTTTCATGATATGTGATATGGTTAAAAATTGCTTAGACCAGCATTCTATCACACAAAATAGGCCACGGGCAGGAGGAAGCAGTCTGGCCACATGCTGGCATGGTACTAGAGTGTCCTCCTGTGTTTTTATGAGAATAACTCTTAAAGAAAGGAGCTTTCTCTGGGGTCCTGGCAAGTAGAGTGACATGTAAGAAGGAAAGGGCGGCTCTCACATCTTACAGTCAGCATGGCATGTTTGTCCCAGAGATGGAAAACGAAAATGTCACTCTGGCTTTAGGGCTTTCACAAATCTGTATTACCATCTTGTCGTTAATTTAAACATGGCCTCAAAATATGAAATTGTTCCTAAAAATGTGGTCATGACTTTCTGGGTACACCCTAAATTATACTGCCCACTTCCTCTGGTGGTGGGTGGAAACAGTTAGTTATCTGACTGCTTATTTATTAATTTTGTTTTTTGTCTGAGGTACAGTCTCTCTACACAGCCCTGGTTATCATGGAACTCACTATGTAAACCGGGCGGGCCTCAGAATCATAGCTCTGCCTACCTCTGCCTCTGACATTCTCTACTTTTAGTTCAGCTTGCCACTGTATGACATTTGCACTTTACTTCCTGTGTTCATGTACAGCAGTCCGTGTGAGGGTGGTTCAGCATGGGGATGGTGTCAGCATGGGGGTGGTGTCAGCATGGAGCCTTCCAAGGACAAAGCAGGAGAATTTCACTACCTGGTGACCTGAGACAGGAGGAGTCATCAAGAAAGACCACTCCCATTTCACACTGTGTAGAAAATCATGTTGCTTCACAAAACTGGAAGAAACACAGAGACATGCACATATTCATTTGCAGTTTCAAGAAAGAGAGAGAGAGAGAGAGAGAGAGAGAGAGAGAGTAGAGAGAGAAGATAATCAATATTTACTTGGTGATACCTTTGCCTAGTAATAATGACGGTTTGTGTTCCTTGAGCGCTTATTATATCCAATTCAATGTTTAAAGGTGTTTATAACTTTACTCATTGTGAATAATGTTCAAGCTGAACTTCAAGTGCTCAACCTAAAATCATTGCAGGTGGTGGCAGGAGCGAACTTTGAAGTCACCTACTCAATTGTGCAAACTAACTGCTCAAAGAAGGATTTTCTACTCTTAACTCCAGAGTGCAAATCCCTTCCGAACGGTGTAAGTAGGCAAAAGTTTAATGATCGTCTTTAACGTTTTGTTAACAGCATGTACAGGACTGCCAAGCGTTGTGGGAAAGCTGTCACTAAAGCTAGCATGTCATTTAGTAGTTCACATTCGTGTTCACTGGGGATCTTGGAGCCCAGAGTTGCTGGTCAAAGACTACACATGACACACTAAGTATTTACATTCATCAAGGATTAGGAATGGGGCCTGGGTTGTCATATGCCCCTAGTCTCCTCCGATCTCATGTGTGCTCAGTGTCCCAACAGGGTCCTCTAGGTCCCGATTCCTTACCTTGATCTCTTATCTCCTTGTTTCCTCATTTTCCTTCATCTATTTTCATTTTAATAAACGCGTTCTGGGATTCTATCCCTTTGTGGATGGCATCTTGTCATCTCAACCACGATCACATAGAAATGTCAATGACTATGCTATGTCCAGCGAATGCCAAGGTGACTGAAGCACGAGCCTTCCAGGATAATGATGCAGATAGTTCTTCAATCTAGTAGCTCTGTTTTATTAGGGAATCTAGTCGATTGTTTTTATTATTTGTTCTTTTGGCTCTTTGGGGACCCCACCACCCAGCTCTCACATAAATTACACACAGAGATTTATTATTTCTTATGAATGTCCAGCCTTACTTTGGCTTGTTTCTTGCCAGATTTTCTTAACTTAAATTATCTCTTTGATCCTTTGCCTCTGGGCCTTTTCCTTTTCTTACCTCTGTAATCTTACTTTCACTCTTACTCCATGGCTGGCTGGGTGGCTGGGTGGCTGGGTGGCTGGGTGGCTGGGTGGCTGGGTGGCTGGCCTCTAGCATCCTCCATTCCTTGTTCTCTTGTTCCTCCCAGATCTCTCTTCCTATTTGTCTCTCTGCCTGCCAGTACCACCTATCCTTTCTCCTGCCTCACTATTGACCATTCAGTGCTTTATTAGGCCAGCGGGTGTTTTAGACAGGCAAAGTAACATAGCTTCAGAGTCAAACAAATGCAACATAAAATATGCATCATTAAACAAATGTTCCACAGCATAAACAAATATAACACACCTTAAAATAATATTCCACAACAAGGGAACACTGAGAAATCTAGACCACAATATGCTAATCTGGGATAATTTTTATATGATTTATTTTTATTTTATGTGCATTGATGTTTTGCCTGCATGTATGGGGATGTTACAAGCCCTGGAGCTGGAGTTACAGGCAGCTGTGAGCTTCTATGTAGGTGCTGGGAATTTGACCCGGGTCCTCTGGAAGAGCAGCCAGTGTTTTTAACCACTGATCCACTCTCCAGCCCCCAATTTTGTGTGTTTTTAATGATAAAGCATCTGAAATGAATTCTATATGCATTATTAGGAAATAGACAAAGTATAGTGGACCTTAGACTATAATGGTTTTTGCAGAGCCTTTAGTGACATTGGCAAATCATTTTGGTGTAAAGGAAAAAGCATAAACCAGGATACAAACTGCACTCACAGGAGCCATGGAGACAGGAGGATTAAGAGATAAGGTCATCCTCACCTGCACAGTGGGTTTGAAGCCAGTCTTTGATACAAAAGACCTTGTTTCAGGAACAGACAAACAAATAAATAAGTGAAGGAAGCAAGGAGGCTGAATGTGCTGGCCCACACCTTTAGTCCCAGAACTCCAGAAGCACTAGATCTCTGTGAGTTCAAGGCCAGACTGGTCTACAAACTGAATCCCAGGCCAGCTAGGGCTATATAGAGAGACCTTGTCTCAAAAAGAAATTTTTTTTAATTTAAATTTTAAAAAAGAAGCTGGGCATTGGTGGCGCACACCTTTAATCCCCGCACTGGGGAGGCAGAGGCAGGTGGATCTCTGTGAGTTCGAGACCAGCCTGGTCTACAAGAGCTAGTTCCAGGATAGGCTGCAAAGCCACAGAGAAACCCTGTCTCGAAAAACCAAAAAAAAAAAAAATTTAAAAGAAAGAAAGGGAAAACTATATATACAGTTGTCCAAATATACAAAGTAGAACAAATATAAATATAAAAAGTGATAGAAAATAAAGGCAGTGACACACACCTTTATTTTCAGCACTTGGAAGGCAGAGGCAGGCCGATCTCTTGAGTTCGAGGCGAGCCTGGTCTACAGAGAGTTTGAGGCCAGCTGGGGCCACTAAGAGAAACCCTGTCTTGAAAAATACAAATAAATAAATAAACAAATAAATAAATCACCAATACACACATAAAGGAGTGGTGGCATGTTCTCTACTCCCAGTACTGGGGAGGAAGATTCTTGCTGTTCACTGGCCCTAGCTGAACCAGAGAGCTCCAGTTTCAGTGAGAGACACCATCTCAACCAATAAGGTAGAGAGAAACTAAGAAAGGCCCTGACATCAACTTCTGGCTTCTGAATTGGTGTGCACACACACAGATGAAGGTATGCACACCTGATATACAAATAAACACATCAAATTACACTAAGCAGAAAACGAGTAGGTGCCCTTGCAAACAGCACTTCTAGGTGGACACCCCCAAGGAACTCAAAACAGAAGCCCATACAGACAGAGTGTATTCCCAGCAGCACCACTCACAGAACCAAAAAGTAAAACCAACCCACGTGCCCACCAGCAGGGGTCCTATTTAGTTCTGTTGCTGTGATAAAATACTGACCAAAAACAACTTGGGAAGAGTTTATTTCATCAAAAGTCACAGTCCAAGAGAGAAGTAGGTAATTAAAAAAAAAAAAAAAAAAAGACAACGCCAC